TTTCTTCATATTGTGAACTCAACTTAAGGTGTTTTAAATTATTTAATTAGATTATTTATCGGAGTTTCACGTTTCACGTTCATTCCACAAACAATATCTAGTTCACAATATTTGAACATTTCAAACTCTTTAACTGATTTTATGGAATATTTTAGAAAAATGGTTACTATCTTATGCATTAGAGCACATCTTCTAAAACATAATACAAAAACAGAAAGTGACCTTGAAATCCAAACGACATAAACGTGACTTAAACATGACTAGTTTTCTCCTTTAAATTCAACCCACTAGTGGATAATACTGCCATTCGGTATCCATAATAAAATCTTAGATAAAAAAAAACAACTCGATAAAAAATCTTTTACTTATCATTTAAATTACATCATATAAAGTTCAAGTATTAATTTCATAATAATTATTTGGAGTTCATTTTAGACACACTTTTGACACTGGAAAATACTTTAGCTAGCTTAACTATAGTCATATCTGTCTATTTTATGGGACTGTTTTAGGACAAAATTGACTAGAATTGAATCCAATTGATTAAATTTGATTTTATTTGAATGAAAGTTAATTCTGTAGTAAAAATTCAAGGAAAATTCTAACCCCATCTAACTTTTTTCAAATATAAAATCAGCCTAAATATTTGTTGCCAAAAAGAATGGCTATAATTTCAAAATTCTACTCAAATCAAAGTTAGTCGGAGCAAATATTAATTTTGAATGTACATGAATTCATGTCGAACCCCTAGGTACTTGCGTATAAAATGCAACAAGTTTCGGAGTTTTTCTCTTGAAGAAACATTTTCCAAGTGGCAATCGAACATGCAGTTTGTTATTGAAATCAAAAATCTATTTTACGTTGCTATCACAATATCTTTCATTAAATTGTGTATTTATTTTCACTGTTGAGGCACTAATGTTGTCTCTATAAATGACATTCCACTTCATCCACAGAGCCCGGTTGATTTTTGAATCAATAAAATTCAAATTGGACTTTTGAATTAAAAATATAATGCTACGCAACAAAAAACTTAACAGGCAAATGTTGGAAAACAAAGGTCAAATTGCAAAATAAATAAATACATTAAAAATGAATCAAAATATATGTTAAATTAACAAAATATATATATATATATATATATATATATATTTATTTAAAAATAACTGATTTTATACTTTGCTAAGCTTATTCTAATTTGTTCACTTACAAAAGAAAGTCTTGTTCCCAATATGGTTCGTTCCCTTTAACTGTAACTGTGGTTGATTTCACATTTTGCAGTTTTAGTATTACATACGTATTGAATTGCGTTGCGGGTAAATCTAGGTTCATGTTTGGGGAATATTTTGATCGATTTCATTGATTGGTGTGTGTATTTAATGCGGTATCAATTGTAAAAAAATAATAATACGCGAAACCGATTAGAGAGAAGAAATAAAAAAAAATGAATTGTAGTTGCCAGATGAGTACCACACAAGTGCTACAATTAAAGAATGAATATTTGACGAAATAATTCCGTATTGAAAACACATACCTTGAACATAAATGGCTCGTTTAACTGAAATATATACCGAAAAATGTAGTGAAATAGCATTAAATTTACATCAAATAACAACAGTGAGTATTTAATATGACTAATACACTGTTGCTACAACAACAATGCGTGGGAATTGAGAGAGAGAGAGAAAAAAATGGCACTGACCAAATTGAGTTACCTGTAACATTTAAAAGTGACATTATACGTTTAGTCTTTTTTTCTGCTTTGTTTTCCGTGCAAACTTTGTTGAATCTGCTCATGAAAAACAAACAATAAACTCAATTCCATGTCAGTTGACTAGCTTGCTTCTTGCGGTGTACATATTCGCTCAATTTGTCTGAAAATCGGACATTTTTTTAGAATGCAAAACTTTTTGCACAAAATTACATATTATATTTGATAATTTATGATACACATTTTAAAATGCACATGTTAAACATTTATCTTTTATATATACTGAAAAATTGCATCTGACTAAATAAAATGAGAATGTTATTGAAAGTATCCTTATTATTATCGGAATTTCGGATATTAAGCAATAGGTTTTTGAAGATGGAGTTTGGTTCATATATTTCAGTTTCCGACAATCTTAATATGAACGCATAAAAAGATCCAAGGAATTGAAATGTCTAATATTGAGAATATTTCCAATTATAGAAAAATGTTTATATTTACTTTTGCAGTCAAATGCAAGCATTTGAATTACATGTTATCTCGATTTTAGCATAATCTATTACAGCATCCAAATATTTGTATAAAAACTTTTTTTTAAATGAAATCACGCGATTGTGTGAATTGTTTACACTTCTATTTGTAACAGTGTCACATTGGGGGTTGGTATCAAAGCTTCACGAATCAAAAACTATCTTTTAAAACATTCATACATTTCGCATAATACTTAATTTTTGTCACAACTACACATACACACACACACAATTCTCATTGAATAAAATCACTTCGCAATTGTTTATAAATCAATGTGATGCGTAATGTCAAATAATATTATAATTAAAATATTCATACATGTGAATGTGATTTCACATGTCATTTAATGCTGACAGAGAACATATTTCAAATCATAAGAAAACCTTTTGGAAAATTTCTTGCAATTTAGTAGGCTAATGTCACATTCAGCTTTAAAACATCCCACGTCATAAAAATACAATATCAAAAAACTCCATTTTCATGTTTTTGAATCAACTTACAGCTCACACTCGAACTACAGTTTAAGCATACTGTCAACGATGGGTACCAAAAAAATAACATTCTTTTTTTAACACTTGCATTCAAAATGTGTGAATAATGAATCATTTCGATGTTGAACAAAAACATTTCTTGTCCACAATCGTCCATCGGTTGACACTGTAGTTTCACATTTTTCTATGTTTCCTTCTGTTTGCTGAATTTGAAACTTTGTTTCTATCCTACAGTTTCTCTTTCTCTTTCTTTCAATCTTTTATTTTTCATTTCATCGTTTTACTTTTTGTATTTTCAATAATCTATTATTCAATAGAAATAACAATAATTTATCAATCGTTCGATTGTTTATCTCACCAATTTAACACTGAATATTCTTTTAAACATTTTTAATATTGCACAATTTGTGCATTGATAATTCCCAATTTATCATATACAATCATCTTTGGAAATTAATTAAATGTCTATTTTTGTTTACAATTTCATTTTGTGTTCACTATAAATTTAACTGTATCCACACAATATCCACAACTTGATTGAACAACGACAGTTTTGACTTGGTATTTACATTTTATTTGAACGAATTTTTTTTGGTTAATTCATAGTTGTTGGAATTGCGAATGGAACGAAATCAAAAATTCAATGCGAAACTAGTAATAACAAAAAAATCTTCCTTTTCTCTCTGTGTCGAAGTCGTCGTCATCATATCATGCACACATAAATGTGATGTATCATGAATAAGTACACAAATACATACACCACATCGATAGCCTATTGGGGCGACTGAAACAATCATGTGTATCGGAACGATGAGGAGACTAATGTTTGTAAATGTATTAGTTGCGTTTATGTTTGTACATGTATTTGTATATGCAAGCAAATATGTGTATGTGGAAAATTGCTTGCTATTCCTTCCAATTCCTTCAGCATGAATCATGAATGTGTGTGATGTACATGAATTCATGAATACTGGAAAAATGTTAACGAAATAGTATGATACCATTATATAAGTGTTAAGGCGTTAGAAAGAAAGAAAATCTATTACTTACATATGGCCTTTACTCCATCACAACGACACATATATTGCATAATCAACATTTTTGCAAAATAGAAAACTCATGAAAATCGAAAAGCTTCTTCACAATTTTCTTGATTTATACATACAAATACATTTTTCGAACGGTTGTTGCCCGTGATGTATGCATGCATAAGTAAGGGTTCATAACAGATTTTTGACATTTTTTATACCGAATATAAACACAATATCAGCTAGTTTGCTAAAAGCCATTTTTTGAACTGTTGATATTTACAAGCCATAGATTAGAGAACATGTGAGATTTCATAAACTTACATTTTTACGAAATTGAATCTTGCTTATATGAAAAAAATCATACCTAATGGTGGCTCCATCTGATAGATAGCTATTCTAGATGACATGAAATTCGATACTTACATTTTCAATGAAATACTCATAGTCTGTTCGAATGAGGAGATTATGGAACTTGCGCTCCTTAGACGTGAGTAAGTTTAAGCTTTTGATAATAGAATTTATAGATACCATGTCAGATGTTCCATAGGCTTTTAATTTAAACAATACATATGTTTTTTTTTATAGACAACAGTAAATTCATTAAAAATGCATTTTCGAATAAGTAATATAAAAAGTCGGCTCATTTAGGATATTAAATATTCGTTTACTGTATTCGATTCCTTCACTATAACAGTCCTTCTACTCGTCGAGCGACTTATTTGTTTCTATATATACTATATATTTTCTGAGGGACCATTATTAGAACTCTATCCAGATTGACAGAATAGATTTTTATTTATTTAATATCATATGCAGGCTGTGTGTTTTGTATGATTTCAGCAGGCACTGCTATTTCTTGCGCGACAGCTATGCTGTGCCTAAGTTTGACGCATTGCATACCGCATTGAAATCGATGCCTGCCAGTGTGTGTTCATTCCGCGGCAATAGCGATACCGTGTATTACGCAGCATTCATTGATGGTTTACGGTATCGCTATTGCCGCGTAACGAACACACACTGCTTACAGCAGTCACCGATCTCAATGCGATATGCAATGCGTCAAGCTTAGGCACAGCATAGCTATCGCGCTAGAAATAGCAGTTAATTTTAGCTATACCAATTAATTTTAACGACTCCGGCATTATTTTAGTATGCGTACCGTTAAAATAAAAGTGTGACATAAGCGTGTGTTTTCATATTATAAATCAACACAATCGTAACACAAGTATGTGAACGATTGACCCCTTGTCCATTAAACACAATTTCAAGAATACCTGACAAAATATTTAGCTTTGTTATCTTTACATTTTTGATCTCTGTACCATGCAAAAAATATATATTTTAAAATTGTAATGGATTGTTTGATGATTTATTCTTTTCATTTTAATTCTATTACAACAGGGAACTGGCATATTTTGATAACTTATTTAAAATACATTTATCTACATTTCTGAATATATTTTGCTAGAACATTTTGTAAAGTTATCTTTTTTTTTGTAGCTAATTCATTTGGTTTCATTGTTCGAGTTTATGACAATAATTTTAATATTAATACTTTGATTCCATTTGAATTATTTTAAATTTTCAAACTATTTCTAAAAATTTGTTCCAGCTATTCAATCAACGAAATGACGAGTTCATGCATCTAAAGATGCTAATAATTTCAGAAAAAAAAAACGTTTTCATATCCTATGTTGCAATGTTCCAAATGATTCAAAGACAATAAAAACCCGGTATTACGACTGACATTTTTAGTCCGAATTCTATGACAACGCCATCTCTTGTTTCCCATCTGTATAAAGTATATATGGCATTACAGCGGTTCTATCAGTTCAATGTTGGGCCGAATAATAGCTGTCATTTTCTTGTTTACATTTTGCAAATTTGAAATTTGTCGTACCTGTTTTGTGTAACATGCTCTTTTTTAAGAAGAATTAAAATGAATATTTGCATATACATCCAAAATGTATATTTCTGTGCATTTCATCACAAATATTTAAAATATTTGTATATTTCTAAATAAATATTGTAGTAAATTGAAGTGAAATTTTCAGCAAAGAAACAGCTATATACATGTAACCAAAGATGGCGTTCGCGATTAAGATTCCACTGACGTTTTCATATAAAAATGCCAACGCAATCCCCGGTTAGACAATAAATCAATCATGATTTATGAACCGGCTATAATTTTCATGACTTCAAGAAATGTTGCTCTTTTACTTCAACAAATTTTTTGAGCTCACGAATATTATAACCCATTCAAATGTCAATACCAAAAATGGACTTTCGGTCATGAAAAATAGACGATTGAACATTGCAACATAATAATTAGTCATTACTAATGACAACAATAGATATTATTTTAAGAAATGGAAAAATGCTAAAATTGCATCTTTTTTTTACTTAGCAACTAAATTAAACATATGTTTATGATGCTTGAGCTTAAAAAGATTCTTCAACTAAATAAGTTCCGTCCTGAAGACCAGCGTTTCCGATTTGATTGGATTGGACCGTTGCAGCTGTGGCTGGCATGTACTTTCCGCATGCCTATTTTTTATTTTTATATCAACACGTGAAGACAAAAACGACCGTGTCGTTGCGAGAAAATGGAATCGTTTTTGGCCAAAGAGAAAAAGAACAATAGAAAAAAATAAAAACAATCAAGTAAGAAAAAATAGGTTTTTTTTTGTTTAAATTGTAGCCTATTTAGATGAAATTTTAACTAGCATTAAGTATGTGATATAAATATTATTCCAATTTTGAGATTGGTCTGGTGCTTATAATAAAAGAACGATTAACATATTTCATCAAAATGTTGAACTGTCAAAATTTAAGTGTGTGAAAAAAATGCATGCAGGAAAAATTGATTCCTGCGATCTACATGATCTATTTTGTGCTTCTATGCATTTAACTAAAGGTTTTAAATAAATAGCGATTATATTTTGCATAGCAAGGTTCGCCAATTTTACAATGATACGACTTGAGGGCATTTCAAAAACTAAAAAAGTAAAAAGTACCTCCGAAACCTTTGATTATGGATAGCATAAATTGCAATAGTTCGTTGAATGACAACCAACCAAAATACAAAAAAATAATTATATGAAGAAAATTGCAGTTTTTACAATTCAAATCAATCAACACTCGACGTAAATGGTGCAAGTTTGTAAAAATTGTGTCGTGCTATTTACATGTATTGTGTTTACTATTGATTGTTTGGATTTGTGTTTAATTATGAGATGTAGTGCGAAGTGTAAATTTGTCTAGAGCTTATGTATATCACACGGGCAATATAATGAATTCTTGCATGTATTTACTAAAGGTACTTCATAATTTTTTATATTGTTCTATCTAATCTCTCTTTTTCTTGAAACTAAATTTTACTAAGAATTTGCTACTCTTTAAACATTTAGCCAATTCTCATGTAGTTCTAAATATCTGATTATTTTTCTTTTCAAAACTTATGCAATTTCATTTCGATTTTGAAAAAAGAAACTCGAAGAACCCATCTAAAATATGTCAGCCAGGAAATATACTTGAGGCAGGTAAATCTCATTTTTTTCTCTAATATCGAACAATGGAAATCTAAAACGATTATCGGCCATAGAATTTTCTGCTAATAGCAGGCTGCTATAAAACAAGTGTATGGAAATCGTGTGACATACGAATTGATGGTGGTATGGCTTTTTTTTGTTAAACCATTTTGGCATCTAAATAATGTTCACAAAATTGGATGTCCATCTAACATTAAATAAATATGTGAGATTATTTAAAATGTATGTAAAGTTATTTTAATCTATCGAAATGGCGAGAATATCCCGTCACTAATTTGACTACATTATGATCTTTCGTTGTACGGATATTTGTATTAATGCATAAGTAAATCTAATTTGTCTACAAAAATTACAATTACCATTGATTTGATAGATACACAGCAAATGCTCCATGATAATTTCAAATTTATGTTAAAAATTGAAGCAGTCATCTTGTACTTCGTTTGTTACCCATAACGGTGTTTTGTTAAACTCATTTTTAAAATCTGTCTATTAATTTGTCCCTAAATCCGACGCAAAGGTTCATTTGAATTCTGCATGTTTTTAAATTTATCTAAAACTTTTAATAAATACCAAATATGCTTCTTCATTTGCACAAATGTATTAACAAATTTTAGAATCGTCTCAAGTTGTTTAAATTTTACACCTATACTTTTCGTGTGAATTGATTGCTTACATTTTTTGCTTGATTCGTGGATGAAGGTGTGTGTGTGAGTAAAAGAAAGAGTATGTATGTGTGTGTATATATTATTATTGTGAGGATGATTTATTTATTTAGGATCGACTGTAGCATATACGTTCATCATGCTGTGAATATGTATTTTTAAATTCGTTTAGTGCCAAAATGGTAGGTGCGAGGGGCAAATCACTTAAAAATTACTTATTAATTATTATTGATTGTTTTGCGATTATTCTTCGATTAGTTTCGATTATCGTCATTAATTGTAATATATGTATTACGTATGAGATTGTCAAATGACGATGATGGAAATTGAATCTATGTGAAATAAAAAGAGAGAGAGAGAGTGTGTGTGTGTGGATGAGTGAGTGAGTGAATGATAGATGATTGGGGAACCATTAGAATGTAAGAGAAAACATACGAAAGAAACAAAAGTCACAACAGCATATAACAGATTGCTGACGAAAAATTGAGATTTGGTAGTAGCAGTGGAGAGAACAACACACAAAGAATCAATGTTGTACACACAGTAGCATTGCATCGGAACAACGTCACA